GAGTGAGCTCCCGTCTCTAGTTCCAGCTCCTGCCAACCTAGCAGTTCGAAAGCAAGAAATTGCAAGTAGATAAATAGGGACCACTTCGGTGGGAAGGTAACAGCGTTCCGTGCGCCTTGGTGTTTAGTCATGCCGGCCACATGACCACGGAAACGTCTTCGAACAGCGCTGGCTCTTCGGCTTTGAAATGGAGATGAGCACCCCAACCCTAGAGTCGGATTCGACTGGCTTTCGAGCAAGGGAACCTTTACCTTTACTTTAACTTTGTATTAGCCACTGGTGGAAACAAGGAAAGAGGAGTGAAAGCATCACCCCTTTATGTAATCATTTACATAAAGCAAAACCAGTCCAAGAAGTACAGACAGGAGAAAAATAGGACGAATGAGTCTTGCTCCAAAGGAAGGACTCTGACTGCAGTGGAAGAAGATTCCTTCTTTAGAGCAAGATTTTGTCCGCTGGAGCAAGACCTCATTAGCAGAAGGGATTTATCCGACCCAGCCTATACTGTCTGACTTTAAAAATGGCTATTTCAGCGATTGGGGTTGAGTTGTCACCAATATATGGATGAAACTCAGCTCTGTCTCACATTTCCAGCTGATCCCAGTGAGGCTGTAGAAACCCTGAACCAGTGCCTGGAGGCAGTTCTGGAGTGGATGCAGGCTAATAAACTGAAGCTTAATCCCAACAACACAGAAGTGCTACTGGTAGATGGAAAGTCTGACCTAGGAGTTAGAGGTGTTGCCCATTCTGGATGGGGCTGCACTCCCCTTGAAGGAACAGATGCATCGTCTGGAGGCACCCTTCGGCCCAGACCTACAGCTGGATAAGCAGGTGGCAGCTGTAGACGAGAGTGCCTTTTAGCAGCTTTGACTGGTTAGCCAGCTGCAGCCTTTCCTGGACAGAAAAGATCTGGCCACTGTGGTGCAATTCCTAGTTACATCTAGATTTGATTAGGGCAATACTGAAATGGGCTGCCCTTAAAAAGGGTTCAGAAACTTCAGTTGGTACAGAACGCTGCAGCCAGGATGTTGACGGGAGTGGGTCATAGGGTCCATATCACTCCAGTCTTGGCCCACCTAAACTGGCTTCCTGTTTGTTTCCAGGCACAATTCAATGTGCTGACCAGGCCAATCACTCTTTCTCAGCCTCAGGGCTTTTTTTGTAGAAAAAGTCCAGCAGGAACTCATTAGCATAATAGGCCACACCCAACAGCAGAAACCTATTAGCATATTAGGCCACACCCCCTGACAGCACAGCTCATTAGCACATTAGGCCGCACCCCCATGTTGCCAGAAGTGTGGTTATCCAGCCACACCCACCTTTTGCTTGTTATTCGGTTTACCGTTTGTTGTCAAAACCCAGGGCTTTTTTTTGTAGCAGGAACTCCTTTGCATGTTAGGCCACACACCCCTAATGTAGCCAATCCTAGTGAGTTTCTGCTCTTCGGTGTGGCCTATTATGCTAATGAGTTCCTGCTGGGCATGGCCAACTCGGGAGCCAGCCGGAACTCCGTTCCTGTGCGTTCCTGCCCAAAAAAAAGCCCTGCTCAGCCTAAACTACATCACAAAGCACAAGGTTTCTGTAGGCTGTTTGTAAAGAGAACGTGGAGGGGGAGAGAATGTTTTATGCTGCCTTAAGTTCCTGGGAGGGAGAAAGGGCAGAATAATTAAAAATGTAATAGACCTGTTCCACTTAAAGGAATTATTTCATATTTGTTTTGACCTCTTGTAGGGCCCCACATGCCAGCTGATGTTCAGGTGACTTTTGACAGTGGAGCCTTGAGAGCTGTTATTTCTTTCACACCAGCAGAAGGAGCATCTAGTTATATCACGGCAGCCCACAGTGGCACCTCTGAGCTAAACTGTAGCACGACTTCCAGTTCCTGCACTATACCATCACTTGAGTGTGGGGCTGAGTATTCTCTGTCTGTCGTAGCAAGCAATGAGGCTGGTTCAAGCATCCCTACTGAGGCTGTCACTTTCAAAACTGGTAGGTGATCTAGAGGAATCCCTGTACAGTTCTTGGTGTGCAGAGATGTGTGTGGTGTCAAGCAACGTGGGCTTGTCACATTTGTCAACTGACAATAGCTGTCCATGTGGTTGCTTAGAAGAAAGGCAATTTGACAAGTAGTTATGAAATTAGGGACGGTGCAGAAAGGCTGGACAGAGAGGGGTTGTTGTTGTGTTTGCCATTCCTCATAACATTAGAATTTTGGCTCACTCAATTAAATTGGTTGGTGTAGATGCAGGAGCAATCCCATTTTGATTCTGAGAATTATGGAACTCACCACCACCACCGGATGTGACAATGGTCACTAGCCAGAATGGCATATTTATGGCCCACAGATCTAGCAATGACTATTAGAAGTAATAGCTAACTAGAATCTCTAGGTTCAGAGGCAGCAAGGTGGATTCAGACATTCTGCTCAGCAAAATTTGAAGCCCTCCTCCAGTGAAGGAGACGCCTTAATAGAAGGCCTCTTAGGCTGCAGAAAGGCTTCAAACCTTGCTGAGCCTCTGCTGGATCCACCCCAGAATACCAGATGCTTGGGGACAAAGAAGGCTGGGAGGGCTATTGATTAGTTGTTTTGAGAGGGGGTCACATCCAGCACTTGCAGACTAACTCATGATTGAGCTTGCCAGCCCCACTCTTCACCTGTCAGTCAGTCAGTCAGTCTTTATTACAGCCCACAAGCCATACGGAAGCAGAACAAACAATGTTAATTAATTACATAAAATGATATCTCTATATCATTCACCCTAGACAGTAAGAAGGGTCAGAGGTTATCAATGTACACACATTATCTCAGCTTATGCTTTCGCAGTAGTGTACAGGAACTTAGCTACTTTTACAGTGATTATCTGGTTAACTCCAGCCAGTAAAATTTTAAGTCTTCTGCTCAGAAAAAAAGGGTTTTTTTATCAGCCAAACCACATTCTAATAAATCCAGGTGTGCTTGAATATAAAATCTAGAATTAAACAATACATGAGGAGTGATGAGCCCTAAAACCCTTCCTAATCATCTATATTGCAGATGGAAGGGATAACTGCAAGACCCAGGCCCACACTAGACATCATGTGTACCATTTGACTGCCACAGGAACTTGCAGCCAGATGGCAGTTATGCATTCCCTGTGGGGACCGCATTCCGGAGCACCACAGGAATCCTGATTTGGATCAGAAAATGGGGGGGATATTATGTGTACCATTTGACTGCCACGGGATCTTGCAGCCAGATGGCAGTTGTGCATTCCCTGTGGGGACCACATTCCGGAGCACCACAGGATCCTGATTTGGATCAGAAAATGGGGGGGGGGCAGAGATGGTGCTTCAGCCTTCCCATGTGTCATTGCTGTGACCTGAAACAGCCCCAGGGGAAGTACTTGCCCCATAATATTCCTGGGGCTCTTTGGGGTTGAGAAAATGGTGCGGGGGGGATAGGCTGAAGTGTCTCCTCCCCCATGCCATGGACCCATTCTGCATCAGGCCCCTGTGGCATATCAGAATAGAGTTCCCATAGTAAACTTGCAGCTGGTGTCTGGCTAAAGTTCCCGTGGCAATAATGTTTTGCGTGTAATGTTTAGTTTTGGCCCCAATGAGTACTATATAACCCACACAGCAGAACGCAGAACATATGTATGGGAGGAATGGTACTAGCTTCTCTTTTCACACTTCACAGCTTTTTAGATTGTTTTTGCACCTATGGAATAATAGCTAATGTCACTGATTCAAAAGATGATGTTTGCATCAGGTTGCGCAAATTTACATATTTTCCAGTTTAGCCTCCATGACAAGAATTCTATGAGAATTCTCTTTTGATGTCAACAGTATGGCATGAACTGTTTTGAGAATATTAATAAAAAAAGTTTTTAAATAATTAAAAAAAAGTCTATGAGATACAAATAAGTGAATTATGATTCACAGATTATTTTAAGAAATATTTAAAATGTGTGAAGATGGAGTCCAAGTAGAAACCAAACTTTACTCATGTGTTCTTAGGAAATTGTCAGACATCCCAGAATAAAGATACACAATTACAAACAAGATCTAGGATCCAAACACACAACATGCCAACTTTCACTAATTTTTGTTTTTGTTTTAAAAAAAACATAGCTCGTCACATGGCATTGTAGGTTGCGTGCAAAGCACATAGCTCACAGTCAGAAGACTGATGATAAAATTGCACCTACTGTATAAACTTCCCCATGTGGATTGATGCTGCACACTCATTCACTCTTAGGTTGGGCGGGGGGGGGAGGCTTTCTGCACATGTGGGATGTCAGAATTAAGGCAGGCACATTCAGACCCTGAAGCACTGCAAAATGGGCAGTCCCTACATTCCTTTTATGGATTTGGGGTTGCTTTTTTAAAGTTGAATTTTGGTGTTACAGTATGGAACATGTTTTAATAACTTTTTTTTTTGGTTGAAAACTTGATTTTGCAGTTCCTTGTGCTCCAGAAAGTGTAACAGTTGAAGAAGCTGAGCCTGGCAATTTGTCAGTATCATGGTCCAATGTTGATCTAAGTGATTATTACGTGGTCTTTGTGAAAAGTGATGATGGCCTGGAGGTGCACTGCAACACCTCCCAGACCCAGTGCTACTTCCAGTCAGACTGTGGCTTTACCTATTTCATCAGTGTCTTTGCCTATAACAGGGCAGGGCAGAGCCCCTTGGGTGACATATTTAACCATACCACTGGTATGTACCACTTTATTTTCTAATTTGTATTTAGTAAATCTGTAGAGATTGTAAACTGTTTGGGCATAATCTTTTACTGGCAGAGTTGGTATCTAGCCTATTGGCTACATATTTTATCCTTGTCTAGGAGAAATGGCACATGTATTTCAAATAATTAGGTAAAAGGTGACTATCAGGGCCGGTGGTAATGCAGGCAGTTCATAGAGGATGGGAAATCAAAGAGTAGCATAAACTATAGCTGTGCAATTATTTGTTCAGACTGTGGAGCCGGGCCAGAGCTGTTCAGACTGTGCAATTGTTCAGACTGTGGAGCCGGGCCAGAGCTTGTAAAGCTATCGGATCCTGAAATGCCTGATCCTTCTGTGCTGTTAGCTGCAGTACCACTCTCTGGCCATCTGAAGTGGTAGAATTGAGATGCAGTAGAAAGTATAGAAGTAATTCCTTTTAGTAAAACACCAAGGTAGCACAAAGAGAAAAGGACTTGGACTATAGTGCTAGAGTCCCTGACTACTTACTTCACTTAAAAGGAGTATGCATGAACCAGTACTTATTCTGATAAACTCTGAGCATTACTGCTATTATAAACAAAAATTGTTTTCTCTTTTATTTCCTTAGCACCCTGCTGCCCCAGTGACTTCAACCCAGTGTTTGTGTCTAGTGACACTGTTCAGATTGTCTGGTCTCCTGTCCGTGGTGCTGAAATGTATGAAACCAAAGCTGTCGACTGGTCCAATGAGCTGCTATGCAATGACACTGCCACCATTTGTACCCTGTCTGCACTGCAATGCAACACCCAGTACAACATCACCGTCTATTCGTTCAGTGAAATTCGAGGCAGCAATACGTCCTGTGCAACTAAACATGTGGCAACAGGTACTATACTGGCTTGCACTTCTGTTAATACAAGAGAGCTGCTAAGAACAAAGGAGGTAGTGTGCAAGCTGAAAAGGCAAATATTATAATTTACATATCGGCAATGTTAAAACCAAACTAAACCAAATTCCACCCTACACTAAATGTGGTGGGAGGGAATACTGGATAGAATAGCCAAGTTCAAATTGTTATTTTTTTTTCCTTTTGAAAATCTTGTCCTAAAGCTGATTGGCATATGGGCTGCGATTGTATTCAAGCCCCCTTGAATAACACAAGACTAAATTCCAAGCAGACCTACTTAGGATTGCTCTCATAAGCAGCCGTCCTATATTATGTAGCTGTTACTGGATCATATCACTTCAGATTGCAACTGGGGAAGTCAATGCTCTCCTACATAAAAAATGTATTGCATCTACAAAACTAATACATCATGGAAAAAATGTAAACAGATCTTCTCCCCCCAACTTGCTAGCTCTGAATATACACAGGACATTTTAATTTTGACTTAAACAAGCATCGAGACATTCTGTTCCCCCACTGAAAGCAGACCCCCCCACAATGGATAAGCATCATGAAGTTGTGTGTGTTTTGACTCTTAAATGAACATTTCCAGCAGTTATCTTTTTTTTGTACAACCTGAGGCCATCATCCTGTGGGGAGCTATGCCTTTAAGTATGAACCTCTGTATCTACTTACTTTCAAACAAGTCTTGTGTAGTCAAATGGGACTTAATGAGGAATTATGCATTGTATCAGGCTGCCAGTGTCCGTGCCAAGAACTAGTATGGCAGAGTGGTTAGAGTGTCATACTAGCACCTGGGACAACCAGTTTCAAATCCCCTTTCTGCCACAGAAACTCCTCATAATCTCTCAGCCTAACCTACCTCACAAAGGTGTTGTGGTAGATAAAGTCGAGGATGGATAAACACTGTAATAATGCAGAGTTTTTTGGATGACACCTCTGCATTAGACCCCTTCCAGTCCAGCTTCTGACCAGGCCATGGGTTGGAGACAGTACCGGTCGCCTTCACGAACAATCTTCGGAGGCATCTGGATCAGGGCGGCTCGGCTGTGTTGCTGTTGTTAGACCTGTCGGTGGCATTCGACATGGTCGACCACCAACTACTGGCCTGCTGCCTTGCCAACACTGGGATTCAGAGGTCTGCCTTTCAGTGGCTCTCCTTGTTTCTTCAGGGTGGCTGTTGGGGAGCAGCTGTCCCAAAGGCACCTGCGAGTCTGCAGAGTGCCCCAAGGTGCAGTGCTTTCCCCAATGTTATTTAACATCTACATGCGCCCCCTTGCCCAGATTGCCTAGAGCCATGGGCTGGGTTGTCATCAATATGCAGATGATACCCAGCTCTACCTGTTGGTGAGTGGCCAGTTTGACTCTAAGCCAGAAGATCTGGACCTGGCATTGAAAGCTGTGGCTGGTTGGCTTAGTCTGAGTCGACTGAAATTGAATCCGATGAAGACGGAGGTCCTGTGCCTAAGTCAGAGTGGCCTGAGGGTAGGGATCCCACTCCCATCTTTCGATGGGGCGCTGTTGGTGCCAGCATTGGAGGTTAGGAGTTTGGGAGTGCTCCTGGATGCCTCCTTAGTGATGGAGGCTCAGGTAGCTTCACTATCTCCGGCTAATCAAGCAGTTGGTTTCCTTCCTCGAACGCAATGACCTGGCAACAGTGATTCATGCAATGGTCACTTCAAGATTAGATTACTATAATGCTCTCTACATGGGGCTGCCCTTGTCCCAAATCCAGGGCCGGCCCGAGGCTGTCCTGTGCTCTACGCGAGCGCAGATGCCAACCTCCCGGCGGGGCCTGGAGACCTCACCGCCAGAACCAGGCTGGGAGGAGGATCACCCAGCCGCCGGCCACCTCCCCGTGGCCACCGCCGGTCCCCTCCCCCCCCCTGGCCGCCGCCGC